GGGGGGGGGGGGCGGGGGCCGGTTGAAGGAAGCCCTTGTCTGGACTCCCCGGGGGCAGGGAGCTCACCTCTATACTGGGCCTCTCAGCCCAGCTGCCTCCTCACGGCCCATCCCCAAGTCCAGCTTTCTCCTCTCCATTATCTGTCCCGCGGATCTCTCTGAACTTCAGAATCCTATTTGGTTTTTTTCTCCCTGTTCCCAAATAGCTGTCCTTGGCAGTCCTAGCATCATTCCCATCTTCCTTCTCTGTATGCTCCTGCTCGTCAAAGACTCTCCTAACTGGCTCGGGGGGCCACGTGGCTGAGGAGCAGAGGGCTCTCACCACCTCCTTCCCGCTTCATACCCTTCTTGTGTTGGCTTAGCCCAAGGCTGTGGGTGCTTGGGCCTCTGTGTCCCAAGCTGCATGCTGTCACCCACTGTAAAGCCCTGTGTTGCTCCCTTGTACAGTTGGTGGATAGTTCTTGGGTCTCATCCCCTTGGATCTTGGCCTCAAATCTCAGCTCTGACCCTGGTGTTGGCAGCTTTTTCCCTGAACCCCATCCCCGCAGAGATGTGTGCACAGTGGCGTCCCTGGGTGGCCTTCCCAGGGTCATTGCTGTCAATGCTTCAGGGTCCAGGGGCAGCCCACCCTCATGGCCTCAGGGAAGAAAGGCCTGGCTCTGTCCCTGGCCAGCTTTTGCTGCTGCACAGCTCACATGAACTTTTTGCAGGCCTTGGTTCCTGAGTTATCATCTTGATGGGTCAGGGTTGGGGTTGAGTAGAGCCTCTTGTCCTCTGAGGGCTGTGGTTGCAGTGCCCCCTGGTGGACACAACTTGGCATTTACCAAGTTGGACCCTGACAAAGCCCACCCTAGAAAAATAAGCGTTTCTCTCAGAAAAGCACCTGCCCACAGAGTTTCTTTAAATGGCATTTGTTATCAATTCAGCAGTGTTTTTTTAAGTGTATATTGTGTAATTAGAACTGTCTTGTACATTTTAAAAGATTTAATCAACTTTTTAAAATTACTAAAACGCTCATAAATAATTTGTCATATAGAATGATCTTTTCATTAACTTTTAGATTTCTATTAAAACTGCAGGAAAAAGAAACCAAAGGTGAAATTTGGTATTGTCCTAATTAAACTCGACTGCTTCGCCTAGATCACGGCTTAGCAAAGTTTTTCTATAAAGGGCCAGACAGTAAGTATCTTAGGCTTTGCAGACCAGACAGTCTCTGTGGCAAAGACTCAGCTATGCCATGGTAGCGGGAAAGCAGCCATAGGCCTGTACGTCAACGAATGGGCATGGCTGTGTGCCAGTACAATTTTATTTACAAACGCAAGCCGAACCAGTCCCTATGTGAATGGTCTTTGGGGGTCTTCTGCCTCAGGCATTTGCACATTGGGACATTTAAGTGAAACAAAAGAACTGCCTGAACTGTTAGGAGAAGATCGGTGGTACTGAGCTTGCCTTCCAGCTGGGTGAGCTTAGCCGGGCAAGCAGTGGGTTATCCCCTTTCCTCCCAACGCCCCCCCCGCAAGTCCTACTCAGCGCATCATATCGTCACCTGTCCCCCTCCTTTAGGAATTGGTGTTTGCACCTGTTCTGGGATCTACAGCAAATACCAGTTGAGAATTATTCCACATTAGGTTCTTGGAGCAGGCTTGGGTCTTCGGATAACTAATCCCTCCAAAGAAGCTTAATCCTCTAAGGGACAGGTTTTGCCTGTAGTTAAACAATAGGTCTTTATTATTATAATTATGAATATAAAAATAGTACATGCTCATGAGAAAAATCAAGCATTCGTGAGAGCGTCAAGTATGAAAAGTTAACTTCCCTTTTTCCTAGCCTGTTTCCTCAGAGTTAAGTACTTACAAGTGTCTTATAGTACGTATCTTTCCAGAAATCTCCTCTGAATGTGCAAACAAATGTTTATCCTTTTAAAAAAGATGGCGTCCCATTTGTTCTGCCCCTAGGGGTTTTTTCTGTTTGTCATAACAGTGTATCATGTATGCCTGTCCCTGGCAGTGACACAGTGGACACAGAGACACAGAGCTAACTCATAGCTGACAGTTGCCTCTGTTTGGTTTGGATGCACCACGACTTGTTCACCCAGCCCACGCTTTGGGCTGACAGCACACCCTTCACGTAGTGTCTCTGCATATAGGCCCCGTGGTGGGAGTGGGTGCAGGCAACGTGAACGTAGTGGGGCTGATTGCAGTGTGCCTCTCCAGCCCAGCCCTGAAGAAAAGCTGTGGTCTGTTCACCTTCCCAGCTGCCTGCTCTTACTTTCATACAGATGCAAGTGCCGAATAGATCCTTCCAGAACCATTCTTCATAAATATTGCCAGCATCCTGACCTGTTAATCAGTGGTTGGTGTAGAGCCTGGGAGGACTAGAAGTGAGCACCCCACCAAGTGATGACATTGTCCCAAGATGCGTTTTCTTATTCATAGGAAAGATTGCAAACTTGGCTGGAACCCCTCCTCCCCCGCCCCAGTGACCTGGCACCGTCAGCTTCTTCCTCTTGCTGCCAGGGCCTTGCACGTTGCTGGTCCTCTAGCCTGAAATTCTTTTCCTTTCTGTGGTGCGCTCGAACATACAGGCAGACACCCTGTCAGTGGTCTGCTGGGTGAGCCTCACACGCCAAGGCCCAGCTTCAGTGTCTCCCCACTGAGCCCTCCCTCACCTGTCAGGACCCTCGCCCATCGAGGCCTTCCATGAGCCTTCTCCCAGCCTCACAGCGCGTGACTGTGGTGAGCTGGGTACACGGGTCTTTCCTCCAGTAAACGTGAGCATCTTGAGAGCCAGGGTCACCTTGCACTGGGACAGAGGCCCTGGCCCGTGGCAGACAGTGCTTGCTGGGGCCATGAGCTGAGCTGCAAGTGGTTCCACGCACCAGGATACATTGAGAACCAGCGCTGATGGTCCTGGCTGTGTCTCTTCAACGCTGACCACCTCCTGTGTTTTTGTCCCTAGTTCACAGGAAATGGGCCGTGCGAAATGAACAGTGTCCAAAAGAGTGACCACGAGAAGAATCTGGAACACAGCAAAAAGCGCTCTCGGCCCTCACTCCTCCGTCCCGTGTCTGCACCAGCCAAGGTAACTGTCAGCTGTGCACATAGATGTGTGCATGCGTGGACACCCAGCAGCCTGGCCTTCTCTGTAGATGACTTGAGGAGCGATATGCAGAGACCTGGGGCATGAGGCCGAGTCCAGGCTCTAGTCCAGCTTGAAATTCACTGGCTGTTGGACCTTGAGAAGTTGACTCACCTGTGAGGTGGCCGGTCACCTGTGCCCCCTGGCTCACGAGATTGTGTGAGAAGGAGTGTCACCTCCTTGTAGAAACCGGATGTACTGCTCAGTCTGCTCCTTTTCACCATCACAGCTCTTTCACAGGCAGGGCCCTTAGGTACAGTTGTGCAGGTCGGTTACTGCACAAGGTGCCCTGCTAGGGGGTGAGAGGCACTGAGGTCCAGCTCCTGTTGTTCTCATCACCTGTGATGGTGATTTTCTAATTCCATCATTCTTTATGCATTTACTAGTTGGCTTTCTACTGTAAGGAAGAGCTATTTTTCATCTCCATTTATTTATGTGTATCTTCATAGACTCGGGTTATAATCCGTGACTATCACTGTTTATCTTGATGCCTAAACCGTCCCAGATCTGGCCAGTGGGGCCCTTTGGGCTGGCTCTTGTGTCCTCTTGACACATCCCCATCATTCTTCAGGCATGTGGGAGATGGTTCTGTAGTGTCCTCGGTGTCTCAGCACAGTGGCCAAGTTCAGGTCCCCTTCCCATCACCATCACGGCCCATAGGACGAAACAGGCAGGGGAAGAGGTTTCTGATACAGTATCTAGGGGCATGTTTCCCTGGCTTTTCTTACTCTATGACAATCCCTCCTGACATCAAAAGAGCTAAACTGCTGAAAGTTAGATCCCAGATTGTGGGCAGAGTGGTTGTGTGACCTTTAACCCTTCACTAGGTCATGGAGGCTGAGGTGGGTGGTCCTGAGAGGTTCATCCACGGGGGTCTTGGGCAGACGTCATCCAGCACCTGATGGCGGTTCCCATCAGGAGAGCTCAGTGTTGGTGATGTTATGATTCTAATAAAGATGGACACAGGGGCTGCCCGTGGGAGGCACACAGCATCCATGGCATGGAATTTCTCTCTACAGAAGAAAATGAAACTCCGTGGTACCAAAGACCTGTCCATCGCCACCGTGGGGAAGTATGGGACTCTGCAGGAGTTCTCCTTCTTTGACAAGGTGAGCGGTGGGACCCACGACTTCTGGGCCTCCCCCCGTCCAGGCTGGCCTTGCCCAGCTCAGATCTGAGCAGGCAGGGTTGGGAGCAGGCGACAGGCGGCCAGTGGTGGGCAGCGGGCAGGAGGTAGCGAAACAGGTGGGAAAGGCAGAGCTCAGAGCCCACACCAAGTTTGGGGGCACGTGTCTGTCACTCAGAAGCTGTGTGGCATCTCTAAAGCTGGGATGGTCCTGGGGCTTCTGTCCAGAGTCAGTGGGCAGAGCCAGTGAGATGGCTCTAGGCACATGCTGTCTGAGCCAAATATCACTGCACGGAGAGCAGTCCACTGCAGACCACAGCCGGCCCCTTTAGAACACGCCTGTGTTGGTGACTCTGTGTGCACCTGGTGATAGCAGAGCCAGGTGTACTCAGGAGTGGGAGTTGGGCCCGGTAGGGGCCCCCTGACTCGCTCTCCCCACAGGTGCGCAGGGTGCTGAAGAGCCAGGAGGTCTACGAGAACTTCCTCCGCTGCATCGCGCTCTTCAACCAGGAGCTTGTGTCCGGCTCTGAGCTCCTCCAGCTGGTCAGCCCATTTCTAGGGTGAGCGACACTTTTCGGGGCTCCCCACTTGGGTTTTGTTTCCGTAAACTCCTTTCACCCTTCTTTTGGCTACTGTTTTTGGAAAACGGTATGTGCGTGTTTTTCGATCTTGTCTTTAAGTTGAAGTTGTTACAGAGATCGTTATAGATTCACCAGCAGTTGTAAGAAAGAACACAGAGAGGTCCTGGGCAGCGTTCCCTCGTGGTAACGTCTCTAGTCAGTGTCATAGCCAGTATGTTGATATTCACACAAGCCACCCATCTGTTCAGGTTTCCCATTTTACCTGTGTGTGTGTGTGTGTGTACGGCTGTATCACCTGTGAAGGTTGGTGTGTCCACCACCACTGTCCAGGTACCGAGCAGCTTCAGAACCACGAAGATCCTTGCGTTGGCCTTTGATACCCACACCCGGGTGCCTCCCACACCCCAAGCCCCTGACAACCCCTAATACCTGTGTTCCTTCTCTAAAGCTTATATAGCAGAAGTATTATGTAAATGGAATCACACTGTGTAACCATTCAGGATCAGCTTTTTTCACCCAGCATAATTCCCTGGAGATTCATTATGCTTTTTAAAATTCTAAGAATCAGAAATTACTGGGAAGAATGAAATGACCACACAGCATCCCTGCTGCCCAGAGAGAAACTCTGTTAGCAGATCCGTTACCCGCTTCCAGCACGTCCTGCTGCCCTGTGTGAGCTGCCCCCCGAGGGCCCAGCAGCCTCTGAGGGGGCGGAGCTGTCCTGGGAGGTGACTGTGCATCCGCAGGTCATGCACCTGTGCTGTGGGAAGGGGAGTCTGCTGGCTCCCAGCGTGCTTCCCACTCACCAGCCCTGTCATGCCCAGCGAGTTTCCTAGCCCGTCTGAGCCTCAGTTTCCATTCTGTCAAAGGGGGATCATAAATATACCTGCGCAGGGTTTCAGAAAGTTTCATATGGGCTCTGCCTGAAGACCCTTAAAATAGCATCTCGAACACGGTGAGTTTGCATTATACATGACGTGTGCGGCGTCCTGTTTAGCCCCCAAGACAACCCCAGAGGCTGCCGGCCCCTTGGGGCAGCTACCTGATTCCCTTTCTATTAATTAAAAAAGTTTTTTTAACTTTTTTTTTTAATGTAAAATAAAACACAGATCCAGGAAACCACATAACAGAAGAACGGCTTGGTGAATCATTATTAGGCAGACACCCTTGTGGCCACCACCCAGGTCACAAATGGACCTTTGCCAACCTCCAGGAGCCCCTCCACCTGCCATCTCAGTCATGCTCCCTCCCTTGGCTTGGGAGTGACCACCTCCCTACACTAATTACGGCTCAACCAACCCAGGCGGACACTGCCAAACACACGGCTCAGTCTCACCCCGTGGTCTGGGTTTTGTTTTCTACTGCGTCTTGTGCATTCCTCTTCATCTCTAGGTTCCCTCTGCCAGTTTATTCCTTACCGTGTCTGCATTGGCATCCCCACGGCGTGGGTGCATTTTGCCGAATGCACCTTCACATTCCCCCACATCCCTCTGTCTGTCAGGAGGCAGTGGTATCCTCTGAGTTCTTTCTGTGGTTTATTCCTTTGTTTATTCATTCACCGCGGGTTGCAAAAGAGAGCATCTCAACAGTATTTATCACCTTTTGGTGACCCAAGGTAGATGCTTGATTTCTCCCTTTATTACAGTGTCAGGGTGATGAGTCTCTTTCCTGTTTCATCAGGCCAATTAGGAACTGAAAAGGGGACCAATTTCTTTGGCGTTACATGAACTCATGAATTTAAACACATTTGATGTGTCTCAATACATTTTAAGCTGAGGAAACTGAGGCCCAGAATGGATACCTCTCACTCTCTCCAGGATAAGCTCTCATAAGAGAGCTTTGCGTGGTGATGGGCAAGTTCAGGGGGATGCGTCCTGGAAGCCCACCCTTCGCTCATCCTCTGCTCTCGGGATCTGAGTGTGGCTGTTGAGTTTCACATAAATGGCATCACACTGTCAGGCTGGGCTGCAGTCTTCTCTTTTTTCTTTTTTAAACTCAGCAATTCTTAGACCCAAATGATCGTTTTTAGCGACTGCACAGTGTATGTACTGTAGTTTTCTCAGCAGGGTCTACAACAATGGACATTTATCTCCAGTTTCCCCCTGTAATCCATGCTGAGATTATGCTCTTGGGCTGGGATACTCAAAGGTCGAGTTAGGGTCATCAGGAGGTGCTTCCTTGATGGTCCCGAGAGTGTACACACATCAGGGTGACCTTTTCACTTGGATTAACTTTCTGGGGCTGCTAAAGATCTGCTAATGCTCTGAAAAACCACCCAGAGCAGGGTGGCAGGCGTCACACAGTCTCGGCTAAAACGTGGCTGGTTTTTTTTACGTGGATTTGGACATGCTCACATCGAAGTACATCTGCGCGGCTCAGAATCCAGTGCTCTGAGCTCGGTCAGGGTCGGCTATTCCCGTTTTGACATGTGAGCAGCAGTTAGAGACTCCAGGCCTGGGAGAGGGCCACGGGGGTGTGCCGCAAAGCGGAGAAATGAAGCGGCTTCTGCTCGCTCATCTTGACCTGACTCCCAGCTGGGTGAGCCTTCACGCCCACCCCCCTCCCCACCATGAGGCCTCTGTTTGCATGGGCAAGCTTCTTTCTGGGTTTGTACACCCACGGGCAGCTGAGTGCAGTGGCCCAGAGAGCTGCCACCTGGTGACAGCATGGCTGGGGTTGGGGCTGGAGTGGGGTAAGCCTCCCCTTCAGAGTGGTTTATCCTGCTGTAACCTCAGGCGTCCTCTACACCGATGTTGTTGATGTCTTCCTTCCCTGCATTTCTGTTGGCTTGCGGGTTTTCCTTGTGAGCTGAGTTGGCGGGGGTCCTTTCAGGCGGGCCGCCTCGGGGCACATAGTTAATGAGGGGAGACTACCAGGCTCAGTAATGGCAGGATCATCACACCAGCTGTCAAAATGTCTGCACCCTTTCTGTAGGATTTGATATTCATTTAAACATTAATGCAGATGACAGTGGGGGTCAGTTGCGTTAAAATCTTCCCATCGACATGCACAACCATTACATTATGAGAATTTGTCTAGGGAGGGGGGTCTCCCTCATGAGGGAGGAAGGCCCTGGAGCTGGGAAGCAGATTTTATCTGTCAAGGGCCAGGGGTCACTGCTAACCAGCTTCTGGCGTTATGCGCAAGCAGCCACAGGCAATACTAAACGAGTGGACGTGACCGACTACTTACAGGCAGATGTGGGGAGGTTGACTAGTTTGCTGATCCTTGGCCTAATGCCCGGCCTCTTCCAGTCAGGGAACATGGCTGACCCCAGCTTCTGCCAGTCCAGGTCATTTTATTTGGCATGTTCAAGGACCTCCCGCAAGTGGTGGGGCCTGGTTGGTGACAGAGGGCTGGAGGGCAGATTCACACATGTGACAACTTCACACATGTTGGATGCTTGTTCTGCCTCTCGCTCCTCCTCTCTGATGTTGATTCTGACCATCTTTAACTGCCGGCATCAACATGAAGCCATTTTAACATCTCTAGATCATTCTCAGAAGGCCCACGGGATGCTACTTACCATTTGTCTTTATTTCTTTTTTTTTTTAGACTTTAAAAAAAAAAAATTGAAGTATAGTTGATTTACAATGTTGTGTTAGTTTTTGGTGTACAGCAAAGGAATTCAGATATATATGTTTATTTATTCTTTCTCAGATTCTGTTCCATTATAGGTTATTATAAGATACCAAATATAGTTCCCTGTGCTGTGCAGTAGGACCTTGTTGTTTATCTATTTTGTATATAGTAGTGTGTATCTGCTAATCCCAAACTCCTAATTTGTCCCTCCCACCTCCCTCCGACTTGTCTTTATTTCTGAAGGAAATTTCCAGAACTGTTTGCACAGTTCAAGTCCTTCCTGGGGGTGAAAGAGCTGTCCTTCGCCCCACCCATGAGTGACAGATCCGGGGATGGAATAAGCCGGGAAATCGACTACGCCTCATGCAAGCGCATCGGATCCAGCTACCGGGCGCTCCCCAAAACCTACCAGCAGCCCAAGTGCAGCGGGAGGACGGCCATCTGCAAGGAGGTAGCGCTTCCCGGGGCTCACGTCAGCTTGTGTGCTGCATGCTCCTTACCCCCTCCTGTGTTCCACATGGAAGACCGAGTGTTGATCCCCCCGATAGTGAATGGTGGATGGTGCCGGGATGTGCCAAAACAAAATGCATGGGTGGAGATGACAGTTTCTTACCCTGCTGGTGGTTCTGGCAAGCCGCAGAGCGCACAGCGCCAGCATAGGGTTTGGCTTGTTCCTCCGTCATTTAGACTGAGATTTATTTCTGCCTTGAGCCCACTCTGTTGCAGCATGTTTCTGTTTAGCTTGACCACTGAACACTTTTTCAGGGTTAGTAGACAGGCTTACTGCATTTCCAGAATTCAAGAGTGCCTGCTGGATTCCAGGATATGTAGTCTGGGAGTCAGCAGACTATGGCCCATGAGCCAAATCCGGCCCACTGCCTGTGTTTGTAAGTAAAGTTTTATTGGCACACAGACATGCCCATTTGTTTACATACTGCCTGCGGCTGCTTTACCAGGACAAGAGCAGAGTTGAGTACAGGCGTGCCTTGGAGATATTGTGGGTTTGGTTCCAGAGCACTGCAATAAAGCAAACATCTCAATAAAGCCAGTCACACAATTTTTTTGGTCTCCCAGTGCATATAAAAGTTACGTTTATACTGTACTGTAGCCTGTTAAGTGTGCAGTAGTGTTATGTCTGAACAAAACAATGTATATACCTTAATTTAAAATATTTTATTGCTAAAATATGCTAACCATCATCTGAGCCTTCAGCAAGTCACTGATCACAGATCCCTATAACAAATGTAATAATAATGAAAAAGCTTGAAATATTGTGAGAATCACCAAAGTGTGACACAGAGACACAAAGTGAGCAAATGCTGTTGGAAAAATGGCATCGATAAGCTTGCTCGATGCAGGGTTGCTGCAAACATCACATTGTTTAAAAAAAAAAAAAAAAAAAAAAAGGCAGTATCTGTGAAGCACAATAAAACGATGTATCCCTGTAGACCTGACAGACCAAATGACCTGCAAAACCTAAAATATTTATCTGGCCCTTTACAGAGAAAGTTTGCCAACCCTAAAGTATTGATAGTAAGATTTGTTCACTTGATCAAAGCCACGTTTTCTCTTAAAACCACTTTAAGGGCTTCCCTGGTGGCGCAGTGCTTGAGTGTCCACCTGCCGATGCAGGAGACGCGGGTTCGTGCCCCGTTTCGGGAAGATCCCACATGCCGCGGAGCGGCTGGGCCCGTGAGCCATGGCCACTGAGCCTGCGCGTCCGGAGCCTGTGCTCCGCAAATGGGAGAGGCCACAACAGTGAGAGGCCCGCATAACGCAAGGAAAAAAAAAAAAAAAAAAAAAAAACCACTTTAAAAGTAATTTTACTATTTGTGTGATAAGGTAATTTCCTGTAAAATCAGTATTGTTACTTATCCTCATATCTTCTACGCTGGACAACACAGTAAACCACTCTGGCAGTGGGGGCCTGGCGCGCTGGTCACGGCATTTCCTCTTGGTGCAGGTACTGAACGACACCTGGGTGTCCTTCCCCTCCTGGTCAGAGGACTCCACCTTCGTGAGCTCCAAGAAGACGCCCTATGAGGAGCAGCTGCACCGCTGTGAGGACGAGCGTTTCGAGGTGTGTGTGCGGCCCGCCTTCTCCACGGCCCTGCCCTCGCTTTCCCCAGTTCATCTCCTCTGCACCCTGGGATGTATCCTGATCCTCCTTGAGCCCTCTCGTCTCCTTTAGAGTATCAGGGATTCCAGCACTTTCCAGCAGGGGGCAGCTCCTGAAGGCCTCCCTTTTCTGCCTTGCTGGCCTCCAGGCTGGCTAGGCATTGGGGGGTGGGGGGCGGCGGGGTGGTGGTGGTGGTGGTGGTGGTGGTGCTGGTGGTGGGGTGTGTGTGTGTGTGTTTTCATTAACTAAAATTAGGTTCACTTCAGTAAATTTTTTTAATACAAATTTTTACCGAGATCACTGTAGATTCACGTGCAGCTTAAAAAATAACACAGAGTGATCCGGGTGCCCTTTCCCCAGTGGTAACAGCTTGTAAATCTCTGGCACAGTGTCAGAGCCAGGATATGGACATTGACCCGGCCATGATCTTATTCACGTCTCCCTAGTTGGACTTGTATTCGTGGGGGGCACGGGGGGGCAGGGTATCTTGTGCACAAGCATGTGCATGTGTGTTTAGCTCTGTGTGGTTCTCTCACCTGTGGAGGTCCATGTATCCAGCACCACAAGCAAGATACTGAACAGTTCCCCCACGAGGAGGATCTCTCACACTGTTCCTTTATATCCCCATCCACCTCCCTCCCCAATTCCCAGCATCCATCAACTTATCCTCCACCTCCTTCACTTTGTCCTAAGTGGAATCAGTCACATGGTATATAACTTTTGGGGATTGGCTACCCCCAGCACATGTTCTGGGGAGTCACCCGGGGGCTGTATGTACCATGCGTCCCTTCCTCTTCATTGCTGAGTGTAACGTGCTTTTGATGCCTGTGGGAAGGGTCAGCCTAGGACCCATTCCCCTCCTCAGATGGGTCCACCAGTGGTGAGGTCCAGGTGGTGCCATCATCGCCCAGGTCTGGACCGCCCCCACACCCCCGTAACCAGCTGTGCTACCTCCAGTCCCCCAGACCCACGTCAGGGGCCCCACACCCTGATGTCTATCGTCTCCTCTTCAGTTCTGCACATCCCTTCTGCCAGCCCAGGCCCGTCCCTAGGGCCCCGCTGACGCCCCGACAGCTGACCCCTCTCTGCTTTCCCGCCCATAGTTAGACGTTGTCCTGGAGACCAACCTGGCCACGATCCGGGTGTTGGAAAGCGTGCAGAAGAAACTCTCCCGGATGGCGCCGGAAGACCAGGAGAAGTTCCGGCTGGACGACTGTCTGGGGGGCACGTCGGAGGTGATCCAGCGCCGCGCCATCCACCGCATTTATGGCGACAAGGCTCCGGAGATCATTGAGAGCCTCAAGAAGAACCCTGTCACCGCTGTCCCCGTCGTCCTGAAAAGGTGTCCTCATGCTTCTGACCACGCTACCTGCTGCAGGGAGCCCCCCAGCAGCTCATTAGTGCTGTTTGTCACGGGTGTAATCGTGAGGGGGCCCCTGGGGTCTCAATCTGGTTGGTTTTCCAGTCTTGCTTCATCTCCCCATTCCATTCCCGAGAGGAAAGCACAACCGTCAACAGTTGTTTGTGTCCTCCTAGAACTTTCTGTCATGCACATAATCATATCTCAACATGAACATGAAAAGTAACTATTTTAAAGCACAAATGGGACCATCCTATATCACGGCTTGCCTTTTATTTAATCACATGTTTGGGACCCTCACTGTGCCAGTGAACAGGTATTGGTTAAGTGGCTGCCCTCAGCCAGGTGCTGTGCCCAGCCCTGGGGCTACAGAGCCAAGCGAGCCCGACACAGTCCCTTCCATTGCGGGGTTCACAGTTGAGCAAGGGAGCCCGGCAGTCGAGCCAGCAGCTGCATAGAGCGCAGTCAGTTCTGTGGGCCAGGACAGCGATGTTTGAGAAACCTTAAAACTGGCTGTGCGGGTTCCACAGGGCCGTTACCCCCTCCCTCCTTTATACAGCACAGAGCCCGCTGCACAGGCCTGGAGCTGGCTGTCCCGAGTGTGGAACATGTCCAGTGGGTCTGTGGGTGGCAGACAGGCTGGCCCTGCACAGGGATGACTCGGGCAGGTGTCCCGGGCTGTCCATGTGCTGAGCGCCCCCTGGCCCTGCAGGCTGAAGGCCAAAGAGGAGGAGTGGCGGGAGGCCCAGCAGGGCTTCAACAAGATCTGGCGGGAGCAGTATGAGAAGGCGTACCTCAAGTCCCTGGACCACCAGGCCGTGAATTTCAAGCAGAATGACACCAAGGCCCTTCGCTCCAAGAGCTTGCTCAATGAGATTGAGAGCGTCTATGACGAGGTGAGGCCCTCCTCAGCCGGGGTCGGGGCAGGCTGCCTGGCCCAAGCTCTGGCTCTCCTGGCCTCGGGCAGATGGCCAGCTCTCTGCGCCTCCATTGCCCTCGCCAGGCTGCGTAGGGGTAAAGGTGGGTGTTTCCGTAGCACCCAGCATAGGGCTGGCCCAGGAGGCAGATTGAGGCCACCCTGCCATTGTCAGCAGAGGGGGCGACTAGGGCTGACCGTGCTTCTCTGTGGCTCTGGACTCAGTGAGGGGAGTGGTTGGCATGGGCTGGCGAACGGGAGCAAGTAGGTGGGAGGCTTGTGCCAGCACCGGGTGATGGCAGGACCACGGAAGGGCTGGTGGCAGGCGGGGAAAGGACAGAGGCAGGGAACGTTGCGGGGTGGTGACGGACCGGTGTGCAGGGCTGGGGGGGCCGGGCCGGAGTGCAAGCAGTCACAGGTCTTCCGGGGTCTACCCAAGTGTCTGTGAATGAATGATGGTGGGCAGAGGCCCATGGTCCTCCCTGAGCCTTCCTCACCCCCAAGGCAGCCAGGGTCAGCTGGACTCGAATAGTCAGGGTGCTGCTCGCCTCGTTTCCCCCAGCCTCTGAGTGCTGCTGCAGGCCTTGGTAGGGGGAGTTCGGCCTCGTTTTGGTTCCAGAGCTCAGCTGGGCCCCCAGCCATTGTGATGCCCTCAGAGCCCCATGGCCCTGGACCCCCTACGTGGAGTTCTCCCAGTGGGTCGCTTCCCGTCTAACGGCCGCCCTGTCTCCCCAGCACCAGGAGCAGCACTCGGAGGGCCGCAGCGCCCCCTCCAGCGAGCCGCACCTCATCTTCGTATACGAGGACCGGCAGATCCTGGAGGACGCGGCCGCCCTCATCAGCTACTACGTGAAGCGGCAGCCGGCCATCCAGAAGGAGGACCAGGGCACCATCCAGCAGCTGGTGCACCAGTTCGTGCCCAGCCTCTTCTTCTCCCGGCCGCTGGACCTGGGCGCGTCCGAGGACTCTGCCGATGAGGGCCGGGGGAGCCCCCAGGGGCAGAGCGCAGACCCTGGTGACCGGAAGAAGCCAGCGCCCGGACCGCAGAGCAGCGCCCCGGAGGACAAGGGGGCCTCGGGCGAGGCGCCGGCCACAGAGCAGCCGCCGCCGCAGCACAAGCCCCTGGACGACGTCTACAGCCTCTTCTTCGCCAACAACAACTGGTATTTCTTCCTGCGCCTCCATCAGACCCTGTGCTCCAGGCTTCTGAAGATCTACCGCCAGGCACAGAAGCAGCTCCTGGAGTACCGGACGGAGAAGGAAAGGGAGAAACTGCTCTGCGAGGGCCGCCGGGAGAAGGGCAACGACCCCGCCATGGAGCTGCGGCTGAAGCAGCCAAGTGAGCCCCTGGGCCCGGGGACGACACCGTGGGGGCTTGCCTCTGAGATCCGGGAGGGGAGGCGGGCCAGCTGAGCAGCTGCCCCAGAGCCACGGGTCACCTGCAGTGGGAGGCAGTGACTCCAGATCCTTCCTGGTGGTGGCCGCGTGGGAGCCGGGCCCTCCGTGACCATGGTGCCGCCCCCTCAGGTGAGGTGGAGCTGGAGGAATACTACCCGGCCTTCCTGGACATGGTGCGGAGCCTGCTGGAGGGCAGCATCGACCCCACGCAGTACGAGGACACCCTGCGCGAGATGTTCACCATCCACGCCTACGTGGGCTTCACCATGGACAAGCTGGTGCAGAGCATCGCCCGGCAGGTGAGCAGGCGTGGGGCGGGCAAGTGGGCAGCACCTCCCTGCGAGTCCCTTTCCTTCACTCCTGTGCCTGCAGTTGATCCCGTGGTTGGCACCTTCCCTTTTTTTTCAATTAAGGTAGAATTCTTGTAAAGTAATATTCGCCAGTTTTAAGTGAACATTTCAGTGGAATTTAGCACATTTGCAGTGTTGTGCAAGCATCATCTCTGACTAGTTCTAGAACATTTCCATCTTCCCCCAAAGAAACCCTGTCTCCATTAGCAGTCACTCCCCATCCCTCCCCTCCCAGCGCTTTTCTGTCTCTCTGGAGTTGCCTGTTCTGGGTATTTCACATAAACAGAATCACATACTATGTGGCCTTTTGTGTCTGGCTTCCTTCACTCAGCCTAACATTTTTAAGGTTCATCCACATTGTAGCGTGTGTCAGTATATCATCCATTTTTATGGTCAAATAACATTCCGTTGTGTGGATGGACCACATTTTGTTCTTCCACTCATCCGTTGATGGACACTTGGGTTGTTTCCACCTTTTGGTGGTGGCGACCAGTGCTGCTGAGGGTGCGCGTGTGCGAGGTTATGTCTGAGCCCCTGTTGAAAAACCTTTCGTGAGGGTTGTTTGGCAACATGTAAAGAACCTGTGGCCCACTTTTCCTGGCGGGGGAATATCCGTGACGTGCATCAGCATCACCCACAGCTGAATGTCAACAAGAGGAAATTGGTCATAAGTATATAAACAGCAGAGCCCCAGACAAGTCGGGTGTGGTCCCGGGACGTGGGTCCTGCTTGGTGACCACTCGAGTTGTTGTTCAACTTGACTTTCATTTCCTGGTTATCAAGTGAGGCTGTTCATCATAAAGTGGAAAAGAAGCAGAGGAAGGAATAATGTCATAACTCTGTCACCCAGGTACAGTTACTAGAAACATTTTAAAAATGGCAGCTCCTTCCAGGTTTTACAAATTTCTTATTGAAGTAAAACACATACAGAAAAGTGCCGACTCCTAAATGTGCAGCTCGGTGGGTCTTCACAAATGGACACCCCACCCGTGTCCCCTCCAGCCACCCCCGCGACTCACGGGCGCCCGCTGCTGATTTCTGGCACTGGGGTAGAGTCCCTGGTTTTGAAGCTGTACAAACTCAGCGTCTGGCTATGTCCAGGCAGCGTGATTCTCTGAGATTCCTGTCTGTTGAGATGCCCGTTGGCTCCTTCATCATCCACCTGGGAAGGATTCCAGGGATGAGCTCCCATTTGGGCCCTTGGAGCAGCGCTTTGCATCCCGTGTGGGCTGTATGTGTGCATGATCTCTGCTCCCCTGGGTGGGGTGCAGGCAGGCCCTGCCAGCCTTGGGGGGAAGCTTCCAGATTCCTGGCCCACTCTGGTCCTGCCCCGGGGGGGCGTGGAGGGGGGAGGGCTCTCTCATCTCTCCTGGACCAAGCAAGTCGGCTCCCAACAGGCCACAGCTCTCAGGAAGGCGGCCCCATCTGTAGCGCCAGGAGGATTGGACCATATATACTTTGACTCATGCCTTTTTTTAAAAAAAAAAACTCCTTCTCTCCGCAAATGTCTCCTGTAAAACCTCTTTTAAAAGATAAAAGAAGCAATAAAAATGGAGCTGTTTAGTTGGAGCCATAGTGAGGGCAGGACCCCCACATGTGGCTCACAGGGCCCCTCCACACAACACCTGTAACCAGCGTCGTATCCACACTCTTTACTTCCTTTTATTTATTTATTTATTTATTTATTTTTTTGCGGTACGCAGGCCTCTCACTGTTGTGGCCTCTCCCGCTGCGGAGCACAGCCTCCGGACGCACAGGCTCAGCGGCCATGGCTCACGGGCCCAGCCGCTCTGTGGCATGTGGGATCCTCCTGGACCGGGGCACGAACCCACGTCCCCTGCATCGGCAGGCGGACTCTGAACCACTGCGCCACCAGGGAAGCCCTATTTATTTTTTAAATTAGCATTTCTTATTTTCAGTAATAGCAGCTAACGTTGATTGGGAATGTGCCGGATGTCAGGCACCATATGAGACCCATGTGTGTCCACGCGTCGCTGTGTGCACTCAGCAGAGGGACACACAGAGCAGAGCCTGAGGCACTAAGTCTGCAGTAGCCTGTCTGGGCCACAGCTCGCGTGCAGAGGGGCCAACTCACGCCGGCCTCAGCTTTTTCCAATCCTTGTCTCATCCTAAGCCTAAAGGTTTTAAGTATGCTTATAGGTATTAAAGGAATTATTTGTGTTTATGACTGAACAGTGGCGGAAGATAATCACTGCTTTTATGATTACCATCCCCATTTTGGCACATTTTCTTTTGTATTTTTTTCTGTGCGTTTCTCATACCCAGGCAGGGTTTGCTGGTCTGCTCTAGTTTGCTCTGGTTTGCTCTTGTCTGATTTGGTCTAGTTTGGTCTTGCTTTTGGTCTGGTCCAGTTTGCTAGTTTGCTCTGATTTAGTTTGGCCTGGTCTGCCCCAGTCTGGTCTGGTTTAGTCTGGTCTAGTTTGCTCTGGTCTGCATCCGGCATGGAGGTCGCCCTGCACAGCCCGTTGGACGCTGGTCTTCACCCCCACCCCGTGGACTTTGCCACACCGTCTCTGGGTGAGGTAGGGGCTCCAGCAGGAGGTGGGAGTGGTGGCTGTGCCTCAGCCCTCCTGGCGGGCACACGCCAGGCACCCACCGGCCCTCCCTCCCCGGCAGCTGCACCACCTCGTGAGCGACGATGTCTGTCTGAAGGTGGTGGAGCTCTACCTGAACGAGAAGAAGCGGGGCGCTGCCGGCGGGAACCTGTCCTCCCGCTGTGTCCGCGCCGCCAGGGAGACCAGCTATCAGTGGAAGGCCGAGCGGTGCATGGCTGATGAGAACTGCTTTAAGGTGAGAGGCCAGCCACGCTCAGCCCCACACGAGGCTGGGGGGAGCACGGCGGGCACCCATAACAGGAGCCCAGTACCGTGTGCTGCTTTCGCTGGGCCTCTGGGTGCAGGCCCCAGCCCCGGAGGGCACCACAGGGCCTGTGGGGTGGGAGCCTGGCACGTGGTCCCTCAAGGGAGGATGGGGCTTGGAGGCTGGTGAAGAGGGGTCATTGATGACCTTTCGACCTCATTCTCTGCCGGCCTGGGCTGTTCTCGTGGCTTCAGGCTGTTTGTCCCCATCCTTCCCCAGGTGATGTTCCTCCAGCGCAAAGGGCAGGTGATCATGACCATTGAGCTCCTGGACACCGAGGAAGCCCAGACAGAGGACCCGCTAGAGGTGCAGGTGAGGACTGCAGCCCTGTGCTCTGTGCCTTGTACACACCGTGGGGGCCGGGGGCAGCCACAGGCAGCATCATGGGTCTCCCACCACGGGAGCCCATGCACGTGCTGGCCGAGCACAGGCCGCAAAACGTCCACCAGAGAAGTCTCTGTGCAGGCTGAACGCTCTCCTTGGAAACGCATCCGGAGGTGGGAGTTGCAGGTGTCCTCTCAGGAGCCATGGGTGTGTCCCAGGGCCGGAAGGCCGTGTGGGAGCCAGGCCGGCTTCCCCCCAAACCCCGGCTCCTGCCACCTGCTGCTGGCACCGTGACATCCGCCCATGGCCAGCCCAGTCACTCAGACCCCGCAGCATGTGGCTGCCGTGCTCCCCGTGCACGAAGCTCAGAGCTCTGGGTGCCCCCTGACCACCAGGAGCAAACCCGCCTGGCCCACACATTGAGGTGCATATTCCACTTGGTGCCCGCACGCCAGGGAGCAGGGCCCAGAAGCCCCAAGCTGCCTCCACAGGGCTGGGGCGCTGCCCACCACAGCCTCAGGGCTCCCTTCACAGCGCCCTTCGCTGGAAACGCTTTCCAAAACAAGGGAGGCTAGGGGCCTGCACACCCGGCCCCTTCCAGAAGTTTCCAGCAAATGTGGTTTTGTCAAGCTTGAGTCTGGAGGAGCCTCGTGCCTTAACAGGGTGGTGAGCAGTTGAAGGATCCCTCGGACGCTACAGGCCATGTCTGACCTGGACCTGGTGACCGCTCCGGGCCCCCCGTTTACTCAGCCGCAGCTCCTGCCGGTGCTCTCCCTCTTCCTACCTGCTGTTTGTGTCCTGATGTCTGTTCCTGCCCACCCATCCCCCAGACCCCGCTCCCCTCCGTGGCAGGGGCCTCCTGTCCCACGTGAACTTATCATGTGATGGATACAGGAAAGTCGTTACACAGCAGGGATTTATCCACTTAAGCACGAAATGCCATAAATCATCTGAATAGTGGCCTGGGTGTGCGTGTCCCACTCCAGCTGAGCCCTTTATCGGGAGCTGCAGTCTGCTGGTCTCGCTATCACACTTCAGGGTCCTCCTCAATAGCTGTTATCCTAGCGCTTCGGGAGTGGTGGGGACAAAGTCCCCGGGAGCCTCTGATGACCTGGGCTGTGTCTCCCTCTGTCCCCCAAGCACCTGGCTCGGTACGTGGAGCAGTACGTGGGGACCGAGGGTGCGTCCAGCTCGCCCACCGAGGGCTTCCTCCTGAAGCCTGTGTTCCTGCAGAGGTGAGAGGACTTTGGGCCCGGGGGCCTCTCGCACCATTGCCAGCACCCAGCGTGACGGGGTTTTATTAGTTTTCACGGGATCAAAGGGTTTGGGTGGTGGTTTTCATTGCTTCAGATTGCGTTTCTCCAACGCTGGGAGGTCAGGCATCTTCCCAGTGTTGCTGGGCCATGAGGACCTTCTAGTCTGCAAATCCTCCTCACCCCCAGGAACCTCAAGAAGTTCCGCAGGTGGCAGTGTGAGCAGGTGCGCGCGCTGCGGGGCGAGGCCAAGAGCTCCTGGAAGCGGCTGGTCGGGGTGGAGAGCGCCTGCAACGTGGACTGCCGCTTCAAACTCAGCACCCACAAGATGATGTTCATCGTGAACTCCGAGGACTACATGTACCGCCGCGGGACGCTCGGCCGGGCCAAGCAGGTGCCCCTCCCTGCCCACATCCTGGGAACCTGGGGGCCAGCCCACAGCTGTCTGGGGTGCTGGGGCCATCCTGATTCTTCTCTCCCCCGCCCCCTGCAGGTGCAGCCCCTGGTCCTGCTGCGCCACCACCAGCACTTCGAGGAGTGGCACAGCCGCTGGCTGGAGGACAACGTGCCGGTGGAGGCAGCCAGTCTTGTGCAGGACTGGCTGATGGGCGAGGAGGACGAGGACATGGTGCCCTGCAAGACGCTCTGCGAGACGGCTCATGTGCACGGGCTGCCGGTGACCCGCTACCGAGTGCAGTACAGCCGCCGCCCAGCCTCGCCCTGACGCTCGCACACGGGCACCACGACTCGCACATAGTGCAGTTGCTTCCTCGGCCTGTGTGTCTATCGGGCGTTTTCATGAACAGTGTGAGGGGAGCAGAGCGTCCCCCAGCCTTGCTGCTATGGGCTGTGAGCTCCAGAGAAGGGCGGGTCATGTCGGCTCTCGGCCCCACGCTGCCGTCCCTCTTGGCTTCCCCGCTTCATTTGGGCCCATCCTGTGCCAGACGTAAAGCACTCCCCGCACTTGAACTCCAGGGGCTCCGTCCCCACTGAAGGGCGAGAAGCAGTGCAGCGGTCAAAGGCACAGGTGAGCGCGCCCACATGCCTGCTGGGCTGCTCCCATCACACGTGCCAAACCCCCAGGCCTGGGCACTGCTCGTCCGTTTCTGCGTATGGTGAAAGCGGGTGGAGAGCCATGCGAGGGCTCATGTTCAGGAGGGCTCAGCGTTTGAGGGTCCCTGACATCGGAGGAGTCGGGCCCAGGTGGACCTGCTTGAAAAGCATGTCCTTCCCAGGCTTCTAGAAACATTTCCCAAGCTGGGCGACAGCCTGCATCTGACAGTTCGGGCATCGGCTTGGCCCAGCGGGTGCCTGCCTGGGGTCCTCAGTCACTTCGAAAGTGAGAAGAGCCCTTTCAGCCAGACTGTTGGGATCCTGCTTTGATGTCCAGACATAGAGTGGGCAGGCGGCACCAGAACTGCCCAGAAGACCCTGCTCCGGAAAAAAAGAGACTCAAACCCCATGTTGATCCGACAGCTGGACTCTGGGCACGTGAGGGGAGGGGGCCTGGCCTGCCGCACCCGCTGAGCTCGAGTGGTCCCACCCCGGGAGGGCCCTGGGGTGCGGTTGTGTACCTAAGATGGACATTCTAGAAGTATATATATGCACACATATTTATTCCTTTATGCTCTCTTAGTGGTTGTAAGTTCTACAACGGCCAAGTCTCACGGCCTCTCTGGGGCTGACAGCCCTCTTCGTGGACTTCTGCATACCCGCCCCAACGCCTCCATTCCGGCAGCCACCACCCGGGGCGGATATGGTGTGAGGGGCAAAAGCTGCCTTTGTGCCAAGAATGCCAAGCAGTTCGGGCTAGGAACCAGCTTTTTGAACTTCCTGCACCGTGAGAAGCTCTGGCCGGGCCCCTGACACCATCAGCAAGTGGGCTCCACTGGCCCGTGGGCCTGGAAGAACCCCCGTGCGGCTGCCTCTGCCAGCTGCAGCCCTTGCCTTCCTGCAGCTGAGCTGTGCCAAACACCCAAGGTTCCGGGAATTGGAGACGTGTTTCTAGAAGTTTACCTGTGGAACTCGAGGTTTGCAAAGCCTGTGACTCCAGGCCTGGGCGATTCTAAGGCCAACCTGTCGCACCTGGATGTCTCCTCACCCGTGTTTTCTCACGTGTAATCCATGCACTTTGTACGCATCCTTGTTTTATAAGAAGGAAACTTATCAGAATTCCTGAACCAGACCCTCCCGGCAGCCATCCTCCTCGGGAGCCCGCAGCCCCTCCTGTGCCTCTGCCTGGGCCTGGGGTGCGGGCCATACCCCACCAAGCCCCCCATCCTGCATGCTTCTAGGGAGCATCTCTTCTGTTTTTGAAGAATTTCTGTTCTGGGGCTTGTACTTCCTTTGCAGCTGTTTTGAATGTAGTTTTCCTTTTCTATTTATTTGCACATTAAAGTTAAAAATTAAATACTGATCTAAAGCTGTGAGGTTCAGTCAGTCATTTCCTGTGAGCAAATCTGGGGGTGACCTCTCACTGCCAGGGGAATTGGCCTGACCTCAGGGAGTGTCTGCACAGGCGCGCCTGGGAGTTCTCAAACCCCATGTGGGGACCCCCCCCCCCCCGGGCCCCCCCCCCGTGGCTTCCCTGTGGCTGCACAACAGGGTCCTGTTTCCCCCGGGGGCATGGCCCCGCCTCCAGGATGTTTTCTAGAATACAGTAAGTCCCCTACATACAAGCAAGTTCTGTTCCGAGAGCGCGTTTGCCAAGTCCAATTTGTTCCAACGAAGTTAGCCTAGGTAGCCAACTAACACCATCGGCTATGTGGTACTCTACTGTAATAGGTTTATAATACTTTTCATACAAATAATACATAAAAAACAATAAAACATTTTGAACCTTACGGTACAGTACCTTGAAAAGGACAGTAGTACAAGAGCTGGCATACAGGGCTGGCGTCAAGTGAACAGGTGAGAAGGGTTACTGACGAGGAGGGAGAGGAGGTGGGAGATGGTAGAGCTGAAGGATCGTCAGCAATAGGAGACGGAGGGCAAGCTGCAGTTTCACTCACTCCTGACGCTGATGGAACCCACGTTCGCAACTTGAAGGTTCGTATGTAGGGGACTTGGGTGTGTTCATTCCCAGCTCAGTTTTCGTATTTGCTGGAAATGAGAAGTGTTTCCTTCCAGTGTTGCACGTGCAAAGCATAATTTGAAGACTGCAGCGTTTGCTGTGAGCTTTCTGTGCCTGCCCACCCGCTTCTAACACCAGGTCCAGAAGCCCACAGATGGCGGGGGATGCGGGGTCTCTCCCTCCTCCAGCCCTACAAAACCACCCTCCATGCTCTCTGGTCCCCCCTCGCAGCTGCCCCCCTGCCCCTTCCTTTCCTCTCACCTCCTGTGTCTTCACCATCATTGGGTCCCCTGAACATCTCCAGGACCCCCTCCTACCAGCCCCACACCTGCCTTCAGGTAAGAGGGAGCCCTCAGCTCTGCTCAGGGTCCTCTTAGCTGCCCCCCACCCTGCGAGGCTTTTGCAGCGCAACTGGCCAACCCCCTCCCCTCCCACTCAGTGCTCACTGCCAGGCCTCACCCATTGGGTCCCTGAGCTCAGTTGGCCCTGCCTTCTGCCCAGCCCACCCTGCCCACCTGGCAAGTCCTCTCCCAAGAGGTGTCCCCGACCTTCCCAAGGGGCCACAGCTGCCTCCCAGGGACCCCCTCACATGTCCCTGGCAGTGCGCAACTCCCCAGAGGGTCAGAGCTCCTGGGGAGTTTGTGACCGAGGCTTGGTGCTGCCCTAGATTTCTCCTGCCGCAAGCTCACGTCCGGCGATGGCCAGGGCCCGCTCTGTGCTCCTAGACTGGCTTTTGTTGGAAGCCCTGGGAGGGGAGGCCTGGGAGGCAGGTGGTGGCTGCTGCAGCTCCCAGAAAGGACACCCGGTCCCAGGAGAGCAGACAAGAGGCGTCCCCAGGGACCACTGTGGCGGGCAGAACTCTTGGCCCCAGGATTCCAGCCCTAGTGGACACCTTCCAGAAGAGTGCCTGCCCTCGAGTGGGCAGTGCCTGTGACTGGGATAAGGTTCCTGGACAAGAGACAGGAGGGAGGGTCTCCGCTGGCCTGAAAGACAGCAGCTCCACGTGGCAGAGGGGGCTCGGCAAATGAGGATGAGGACCTGGGCCCTGTGCCTACATAAAGCAGCCCTCATCCTAACGGCCCTGCAGCTCCCCTTCCAGCCTCCTTCGAGTGGTGCGGAGCTGCAGGACCAGGTAGGCTGCCCTCGCCCTCCCCCTCCCTAGCATGGCGGAGGTGGGGGGATTGCCTGGGGTGCTTGGGGCAGCAGGAGAGTTGGGGGGCTCAGGTAGAACATTTACTCTGTTCCTAGTAAGGTGTTTGCCTTGCTGGCTCTTTGCAAAATAGAACTAACGCAATGCACCTGATGTCCTGGCTGAGAGTGAGGTTTATTGTTCTAAAAAGCAAGTTGACCTAAAATCATTCTGAGGAGGTCCATGGCGGGGGTGGGAGTGGGGGTAGAACTGCTAGGGGTGGGACTGGTGGGGGTGCAACGTGCCTAGAAAGAGCCTGTAGGGATGGGGAGTGACGAGCATGCAATACCTCCAGCCCTGCCGGAGGCTCTTCAGAACCTTCCCCATGCAGCCCTGTGTGCGGGAGCTCCAGCCCACAGGTCAGGTAAGCAGACTCAGATTTGGGGTTTCAGGGATGAAGCACAGGGCCTCTGTGGTTGGGAGGGCTGGACCTCAAACCTTGGTGCCCGGCAAGTCGGGGGTCACAGCACCCACCTCTCATCCCGGTCCGAGGGTTAATGTCCCTGGCCGCAGGCCGAGGCCCAGCCTGGGAATGAGGGGAGATCCGGACACATTTGCAGGTGTCCACATCTGGCTTCAAAGTACAACATAAAGAAAACACAATTTCCACAAAGATGGCCATCCCGAGAAGCATTGCCTCGGAAGGACTTGAGGGGCTGAGTCATCAGTGACCTCCGTCTTCTAGTGGAGACGGTGAGGCAGGAAGGGGCAGCCAGGGAGGACAGGCTTGGGGGAGTGGGCTTGGAGGGTCCAGGTGAGGCTGGAGGATGAGGAATCCCAGGACTAGCCACTGGCTTAGGTCTGTTTGCCGTTTTTTTCACTTTATTTCTTTATTTATTTTATTTTTTTGCAGTATGCGGGCCTCTCACTGTTGTGGCCTCTCCCGTCGTGGAGCACAGGCTCAGCGGCCATGGCCATGGCTCACAGGCCCAGCCGCTCCGCGGCATGTGGGATCTTCCCGGACCAGGGCACGAACCTCTCAACCACTGCACCACCAGGGAAGCCCTTTCACTTATCTAAATTGTGGTAAAATACACGTAACACAATTTACCACGCGACCATTTTAAGTGTACAGTTCAGTGACATAACGTACACCCACGTTGGGAATTCCCTGGTGGTCCAGTGGTTAGGACTCGGCGCTTTCACTGCCGACAGCGCGGGTTCGATCCCTAGTTGGGGAACTAGGATCGCGCAAGCCTTGCAGCGCAGCCATGAGTAAATGAGTAAATAAATAAACAAAAAGTACATCCACGTGGTTGTATAACCATGCCCACCATCCATCTCCAGACTCTGTTCATCTTCCCAAACTGAAACTCTATCTTTAACTAAACACTAACTCCCCATTCCCCACACCCCTAGCCCCTGACAACCACCCTTCTGCTTCTTGCAGTCTCTGTGCATTTGGCCACTCTAGGGACTTCATATAAGTGGAATCATACAGTATTTGTCCTTTGGTGACTGGCTTATTTCACTCAGCACAGTGTCTTCAAGGTTTATCCATGTTGTATGCTGTGTCAGAATTTCCTACTATTATGCCTTTTTTGAAACATGAGTTTTTATGGAAAGTGACGCACGGCACAGAAAATTCCCATAGCACAAAAAAGGCTCACAGAGAAGAGTAGGTGCCCATGTCCCTCCCCCCGAAGGCAGCTGCCCCCAGTGTGCCCCAGGAGGTGTTCACGTGGCTCATCATCCGATTGGAAACAGCGGCCCTGCACCTCCATGGCTGTTTCCATGGCGGCAGGGGTGAGGGGGGGTTGTTTACGGCCCCCCGCCCCGCTGCCGGAAATTTCCCTGTACAGACGTCTTCCTGAGCGTTTCTCTGTACAGACCCGCCATAAATTCCTAGACACGGAATTCCTGAGTCAAACCACCCGCCTCACACTCCAGTCCGCCCTATCCCTGGCAGGGAAGAGCTGCCGGGCCCAGCTTCCCCTGAGCAGGTTCCCTGCTCTCTCCTGGAGGGCAGCAGGGGGTCCCCATCCCCCGTTTTCCTGTGCGCTGAGGGCGTCATCATCATAACTGGTCACGTGTGCTGTGAGGCATAGGCGTGGGATGAATTTGTCATTGGTGCTGGTGGAAACTGCTCAAAAATGAGGGAGAGGTTCCTGGCTGAGACCGCTGCCCTGACTGGAGCTCTCCAGGCCTCGATCCCCGCCGACCAACCCTGGACTGGGGGGCAGGGACCTCGGCATCTCGGTCTCTGGCTGCACTGACTCTGTCCAGGACTGCTCGGTCATTTCCTGGCTGGTTCCCATGTCCCCGAGTGTTTGGCTAGATTAGGGTTTGCCATACCAGGACATGGCTGCATCCGACCCCCTCTCCCACCGCTAGTTCATTTCTTCTTCCCTGACCCTCACTGCCCCCTTGGGGTCCACCTGCTCCCAGACATTGCCCCCACCACTGTGACCCAGTCCTGACCTCACAGAGACCGAGCATCTCCAGTGCAGGGCTCCCCCAGGGTAGGACAGTGTAGCTGCTCTGAGGTCTGGAGGGGGAATCGTATTCAGGATGGAGGAGTACCCTCCCCTCTGGGTGGGACGTGGAGAGGTCTGAGGGGTGAGGACCCCAAGGGAAGGTGGTTCAGGGGGCTCTCTGGGCTGGCTGGGCCACCCCCTCTGGCTCATGTACGGCTGTGGCCCCTGGTCACACCTGGGACCCCAGGCTGAGCGTGGGGTCAGGACCAGAGCAGAAGCGGCTTTGAGAACTGGAAATGGGCACCTCCCAGAGGGGGCTGCAGCCACGCTCCCCTAAGACCCCCAGGACAGCGCATGCTCAGCATCGGGGGTTCTGGCTGAGAACCAAGACCTCCTCATCAGGCTCACAAGGCCTGCCCCTCTCTGCGCCTGCCGGGGGACCTGTGCTGGGGCGTGGGTGAGGCTGCATACGGCAGGGTAACCTCCACAGAGGGCCAGGGGCATCTGGGGGGTCCACTCACCTGCTCTGGCCTCTGATTTGGGGTCCTGCCTGCCAGAGCCGGGGGTGGGGTTTGGGAGGAAGGGGCTTCAGGAAGGACCAAGAGCTCCTGACGGAGGGAGGGGAGCGTGGCACAGAGGGCTGGGCTGTCATGAGGATGGGGCCGAGATGTGATCGGCCAGCAAGAAGTGGCCACTTGGCCTACAGAGGCTTCCTAGGCTGGATGGGGGCTGCAGCCTGGCCCCTCCTCTCCCATCTTACTGGCCCAGCACCTAGACCCCAAGTAACTCCAGCTGCCAGGCCTCCTCAGGCCAGGCTTTGGGCCTCCCACGGGCTCATGGGGGCAGGGACTGGTTTATCTCACCAGACCTTGTCCCCTCCTCCACTGGCACTCAGGAAGCTGGGGGCGGGGGTGGGGGGTCTGGCCAGGCAGGAAGCCTGAGGTCAGCCGGCCACAGCCCAGAGTAGCTAGCACCCAGCACCGGCAACATGTGGGCTCTCCTGGTGCTGTGGCCCCTAGCACTGGGGTTCAGCCTGGATGACACTCAGACCCCCATTTTCTACGACAATGATGGGGGCAGCATGGAGAGAGGTGATGGTGAGTGACCTCGGGCCCTGCCTTGGGACTGGGAGGGTGCCCAGAGCCGGTGAAGGGGAGACAGGGAACGGGGGTGGGGCTTCTCCAGCCCAGCCCTGAGTCCACAGGGCTGGGGGTTTCCATGTCCAGCTCTGTCCCACCAGCCCAGGGGCTCCTTAGAGCTGGGGGCTAGGTCTACAGTTTCTCAGGGGCCTCGCCATCCAGCTGGGGAACCAGGTGAGGGGCTAGGGGTGGGGGGTGACTCCTGGCCTCTCAGCGCTTCTATCCCCTTTCCCTCCGGGCCTCTCTCCCCCAGATAGCACACCGGGGCCCCAACCACGCAGCTTCCCTGGCCAGCCCTGTGCCAATGACAGCAACACTCTGGAGGTCCCGGGCAGCTCTCGGGCACTGCTGCTAGGCTGGGTGCCCACGAGACTGGTGCCCACGCTCTACGGGCTGGCCCTGGCAGTGGGGCTGCCCGCCAATGGCCTGGCGCTGTGGGTGCTGGCCACACGAGTGCCACAACTGCCGTCCACGGTGCTACTGATGAACTTGGCAGCGGCCGACCTGCTGCTGGCCCTGGCGCTGCCGCCACGCATCACCTACCACCTGCGGGGCCAGCGCTGGCCCTTCGGCGAGGCCGCCTGCCGCCTGGACACGGCCGCGCTCTACGGTCACATGTACGGCTCCGTGCTGCTACTGGCCACCATCAGCCTGGACCGCTACCTGGCCGTGGTGCACCCGCTGCGGGCCCGCACCCTGCGAGGCCAGCGCCTGGCCATCGGGCTCTGTGTCACAGCCTGGCTGGTGGCAGCCGCCCTGGCGCTGCCCCTGGCGCTGCAGCAGCAGACCTTCCGGCTGTCGCGTTCGGACCACGTGCTCTGCCACGACGTGCTGCCCGTTGGTGCCCAGGCCTCCTACTGGCGGCCCGCCTTCATCTGCCTGGCGGTGCTCGGCTGCTTCCTGCCGCTGCTGGCCATGCTGCTGAGCTACGGGGGCACCCTGCGCACGCTGGCGGCCGGCGGCCGGCGTTACAGCCATGCGCTGAGGCTGACCGCACTGGTGCTGACCTCGGCCGTGGCCCTCTTTGCACCCAGCAACGTGCTGCTGCTCCTGCACTACTCAAACCCGGACCCTGATGCCTGGGGGGACCTGTACGCCGCCTACCTGCCCAGCCTGGCGCTCAGCACCCTCAACAGCTGTGTAGACCCCTTCATCTACTACTATGTGTCGGCCGAGTTCAGGAGCAAGGTGCAGGAAATGCTTCACCGGGCGCCTGGAACTGCAACAGCTTCCAGGGAGGGGTGCAGCCCGGCGCCCTGCACCCGGTCCTCCTCGTTTGTGTGACAGGCTTTCCACAGGCCGGACAGACAGGAAGGGGGTTGCACTGGGTTGAATAGGGTCCCCTCCCAATTCATGTCCACCGAGAACTTCCAAAAGTGAGCTTATTTGGAAAGAAGGTCTTTGCAGGTGTAATTAGTTAGGATGAGGTCACACTAGAGCAGGGAGGGCCCTAAATCCGATGTGACTGGTGTCCTTTTAAGAAGAGGACACAGAGACACACAGGGAAGGCCATGTGACCACGGAGGCAGAGATGGGGTGATATGGCCACAAGCCAAGGGATGCCACAGACTGCCTGCAGCCACCAGAAGAAGCCAGGAGACCAGCCTGGGACAGACTCTCCCTCAGAGCCCCTAGAAGGAGCCAACCCTGCCCACCTTTATCTCAGACTTCTGGCCTCCAGAACTGTCAGAGAATAAATTTCTGTTGTTTTAAGCCACCTGGTACGTGGTACTTGGCTACGGCAGCCCCAGGAAACTAAGACGAGCATTAAATGCAGGTTCCCAGGCCCAGCCAGCTCGCCTGTGTCCATGTCCAAGGTGTGGACAAGGCGAAGCTGATGCTGCCTTGGACCTGCAGCAGGACCTCACCCAGCAGGAGGCACCCTCCCCGCTTGTGGCCAAGGCGGCTAGGAGCCCCATTGGCGGTCCTCGTTCCCAGGATGGGCCTTAGTGTTCTTTGGGGAGCAGAGTAGTGGTCTCCAGTGCTCAGGAGATGCCAAAGCCTGGTGCAACCCATCACCGGGAGCCACAGGGCTCGGCCTCCTACTGTCACCCTGGCTGCAAGACATCACCTCCTCCTGCTTTCCCTTGGTCTGATTCCTCGTCTCAGGTAACTCCCCCATGGACTGGGTGGATGGAGCAATGCCAGGATTTACAGTGTACACCCAGGGTCAGGGGGCTGCAGCTTTGCAGAGCCCACCCCCAGCCAGCCGAAGGCTGCTTTGAATCAAGTCAGGGGGGGCACCACATGGGGAAGGGCAGCCATAGCCCCAGACACACATACACACACACCCTGACGTTCCCCACCCCAGCAGGCAGCACAGGGCACAGTATCAGGAGCCACCGAGGCATCAACTGTGGGAGTACACAAGCCCTCTCCAGAGGCAGAGGGGAATGGTTGCCATTCCTGGGCTCCCCATCAAGTTCATATGTCTCTGGTCTGGGGAAGAGTGAGCCGGAAGCCCCAGGACGGACACACACACACACACAAGCGCGTGCAGACACACACGCTCTCGCGTGTAAAAGTGAACCTGGGGCTGTGTGAATAAAGTCAACGAAGAGTATCATGTCAATAGCCTGGTGTGATGATGTGCTAGAGTCTTCCAAGATGTTACCACTGGGGGAGGCTGGCTAAAGGGTAGCCAGGACCTCTCTGTATTGGTCTGATTTCTTACAAGTGCATGGGAATCTATGATTACCCTGGGATGCAAGTGTTCCAAAGCCTCACCCTGCTCTGAAAGGCTGGGCTGTAGATGAAGGAATGGATGTGAGGGGCCGGAAGGGAGCTGGGCTCCAGCGCTTAGAGCTGCCTCTCAGCCTCCCCTGCCCTCAGGAGGCCCAAGTCTGTCAGGGACTCTATGGAAATGAGCTTTTATTACACCAGCAGCCTCTATGGCAAGTGGCAACAGGGCCTCGGCAAGGGCGCTGTAACCTTGCAGGATGGCAGGGGTCAGGGGCGTGGAGAGTGGCCGGTGCTGCACGACGGGGACCCACAGGCTGGGCAGCCCCCTCAGGGTCTCCGTGCTGTCCAGATATGAGCAGTGTTGGCTGAAATAAATTACCACCGTGGAGGCAGAAGACAGGAGAATGCAGAAGGGGGAACGGAGAGCCGGGAGGCAGGTCTGAGCACACGGCTTCGGTAGGTTCAGAGCTGGGACACCCTCCCAGGCTGCTAGGAGGGGGACAATCTTCCAGGCGGGGCATTGGAAGATCAGGGGTTCAGAGGTCGAGGTCAGGAAGTGGGCAGATGAAGGTGCATCTGTCTGGAGCCCAGGACTTTCTCCGCAGAGAAAGTGGTGGTGCTGTCGAGGCTAAACATTCAGGGACCCCTGGGGTGAGGCAGGGGTACAGGGACTGTGACAGTTCGGGGACAATTTGGGGTTTGGGTCTGGGGGCTCAGCAGCCCAGGCCGTCA